AAATGAATTAAACATGTTTATTTTCAAATATATTTTATTTTAGAAAAGATGCATTCAGATGAAAAAGGTTTATTATTGTATAAAAATAAATGATTTTTTATGAAATAAATTATTCTTAAATTTATCAACTTCTTATTCACATATTATCGGACCGATGCTTATTTCCGAATATTAAATTTATTTAACAAATTTATCATTTTTCACTCGAATTTTGTAGAAATCTACAAATGCATTTTTTTTTTCAATAAATGTCTCTTTAAAACCTGATTTCTAGAAAAGATATCCAACAATAACAATAGCGAATCAGTATATCTGTGCATGTGTGTGTGTACTAGTGGTCATAAGCAACAAAACAAAAAAAAAAATACCATAAATAATGCAAAATTAATTTCTCTTGCCAACTTGTTCCAGAAGTCACACTGTGAGACGCAAAAAGATGCCAACTAGACGACATTAAGCAGCTTATATCAGAGACACAAAAGAAATATACAAAAGCAGCGGTTGAACAGCATAGAAAACACATTAGAAGAGAACGCGGAAATGAACAAGAAATCAAAAGAAAGAGAATTGGGAAAGAGCGAACCACTTGAAGACATTGGGCGAAGAGAGGCTTAATAAGCGAAATCTATTATTTCAATTTAATTAATACCGAAGTGGATACATATATACAAACATATGTGTGCATGTAAATGTCTATGTCTGTTTATGTGTATATGTATTTTTGCTCATTTAAGTGGTTAGGCATATGCGAAGAGTTTTATATTAAGAGGCTTACATACAAATATCTCTTCCAATTACGTTTTCATTTTACCGGGTGCTCGAATACTGGAGTAGTTAGAAACTGGTTTCCATGTATACACTTCATTTGTACATGTATATTTTTTTGACTACATACAAATGTACCATAAACCGTGCTGAATAGCAATGCCAGCAGCTCGATACTCGTTCGTTACTCAACCGCTCAATTTTTTTTTTTTTTAATTTTTCAATTTTCAATTTTGTTTATATAAATTCCTTTATTATATTAATGAGTTTTATACTTTGGATAAATAAAATTTGAAATTATAGAAAAAGAATTTGTGAAAAAGTTCAAAGGTTCAAAGTGCGCAAAGAAGCTTTTGTATTTTATTATAATTTCTGTCAAAAAATATCTTTTGTCATGCAATATTGTGTAATGCTGATGTTTCTGTTAGCCAAAAATTATGGCAAACATTAATTTATGTTTCGGCAAAAATTACCATTTTCCGAAATTAGTATTCAAGTATTCGAATTGTGTGTTTAGTTAAAAATAATGTTTCGCCATAATTTATGTTTAGCCAAAATGTATGGTGAACAAAAAATTATGTGTTGCCATAAATTAAGGTTTCGCCATGAATTATATTTAACCAAAATTCAATGTTAGCCAAAAATTTATGTTTGAGCAAAGATAATGTTTCGCCATAAAATATATTTAGTCACATTGCATAGTACACTAAAATGTACGTTGAACCAAAACCTATGTTTCGCCAAAATTTATGGAAACTCCGTTAGCCAAAAATTTTGTTTCGCCATACATATAGATATAGATATATACATATGTATATATAATTTGTAAGCGCTGAAGCGATTTTCCGCCGAGCTGCTCCTCCAAATTGTGGTCTTGCGTCTTGATGTTTTTCCAACAAATGGAGGAACCTACAGTTTATACTAAGCCGCCTCCGAACGGCTGATGGCTTTTTATGAGAGGATTTATTTCATGTTAGAAATACTCTCGGAAGCCGAAGAGCGACCGCAGTTAGAAAATGTAACTTAATTTTTTATATAAATTAGTTTTCTATAACTTTTAGATGTTGGTCGCACGGGGATTTGAACCCCATTTCCGAATGACAGTACGCAATGCTAACCTCCCGGCTACCGCGGCGGCTATAATTTGTGCTTAGCTAAAAAAAAATTCACCACACATCACATTTAATATATTTTTTTAGTTACATGAAATAAATTTAAAATTTATGCCTGCCAAAAATTATGTTTCGCCATAATTTATTTTCAGCCAAAATTTATGTTAAGCCATAATTTATCTTTAGCTTAACAAGTTTTCGTCGTACTTTATACCTAATACCCTTTAAAAGAAAATGAATTAAAATAAGTTTGGTCTAAAATGTCTGGTAGTGCCAACATAAACGTATCAACCAGTTTTTACTGTAGGGTTTGTAAATATATATATGTACATACATATGTAAACTTATGTTATTATATACATATGTGCACGAGTTGACTTTAAAAAAAACCTATTCACATTAACGTATGTACATACACATAAACACATTTAAGTGCCATACAAAACAAGAAATACTGAAACGACAAATTTACACATACAATTATACATACGTACTTAAGCATTTGTACATATGTATGAGCACACATATGAAGCTAAATTGATATTGGTTTCTCATTGTTTGCACATAAATATTTTGTGACTTCGTAATCTCTCAGCTCTAACCAACCATTGGCATTGGATAACAATATGTTTATATATTAAAGGTATGTATGTATGTACTCAAAGAGTATATATTTTAAAGCTTAGCTTGTGAATTTGTAGGCGCAATCGATTAATTGATGAAAAATGAGTAGTGGCTATCGATAACAGTTTAAGAGATTAGAAATCGGGAAGTTTGAACTTTTTTGTGACTATGAATGCATTGAAGAAATTTATGATAATTTAGTGTAATTTATTTAACTTTATCTATTTCAATAAGTGCTAACTCAACTTCAAGAATCGAAAAATATCGATAACTACTTCTGAAAAAATTAGAAATTTCTTTAAAAATGTATTTAAAAATTCCCATAAACTTTTTTCAAAAATATTTGAAGTAAAAGAAGACTGTATATTATTTTGTTTATAAAAAAAAATATTTTCAAACTGTACATTAATAATAACTCATTTTGATTTTCAAACGTATATAAAAAACTTTATACCTAACACAAAAAAATATATTCTTTTAAAAAGATATTGAAAAAGCTTCAGAAACTCGGCAATGGGAAAGTTAAAGTTTTGTTTTTTTTTTAACTTAATGGGGAGCTACCACTATCTTACATCAAATAATCAATTAATTCAAATATTTTGTATTATCGTCGATTGCATCATTTACCGATTAAAATTACATAATTCTCTCATCTCTACGCCCTATTGACTTTTATCTTTAAATTTATACAGCCCGCTCTTGAAAGATGTGTGCGCTAGATGTAAGAGATACTTTGAGTAAGATCAACGAAGCGTAACGGAATGTGACAAAACAAGAAAATTACACTATAAATATTTTTTCAAGGAAATTTTATATTATTGGGTATATAATATTTGTATCGGATATAAGGGTTTATCACATAAAAAGAAGCTTGTCTTACGCAAACTTAACGAAGATTTCAAATACAGGAGGCTTTGATTAATTCAATTTTAAAATTCGAAAACACTGTTCCGAATTAAAGAGTATTCGTTGAAGATATGTTTTAGGTTTTGGTTCAACTTTATAACCAAGCCTCATGCCGGAATAAATGCCTGTGGAAATCGGCGTAAGACTTGACTGTCGCGTTGACTATGGGCAAGTCATACCCGGTGAAATTACTTGAACCCCTAACCGGCGGGTTAAAAATCTATGATAATCTTAGTTTTAACCGATGTGTTAGATTAGAGCTTGACATGGTCAAATAAGGCTTGCGATTTTTTAAATCAATTACAATATTGTCGGGGAAAATGATAACTAATCGAAGAGATCAATGGCGATAAGTTTTTCTATCCGGGGTTATCTCATGTTAAACTTAAAAATTGCACTATCCGCGGCTTACGAAAAGATAAATATCATTTGGTTTCCCAAGATTCCAAGCTAACGAGGTGGAATATGGTTACCACCACAAGCAACTGCTTACAGCAGTAAGATTTTAAGCAGCCTCTGAATATGTCTTGAACCAACTTAGTGAGTGTTGGATTACTCTTTCAACCTGGAGGCATTTTCGGTTCAAGATAGATAGTGGAAGGGCGATGAAACTGCTTACTACTTATTTACAAGCACAAAACACGGTCGGAGCAGTACCTGAACACAGGTCATCTCACGGTAGGTCCAAGATACGTGCTGTTTCGTCGAGATCGGGACAGAGAGAGAGGGGGGGTTAGATGTTTCGGCCTAAGAGGCATGTGAAAAGGTGGTTAGTGTCGTGCGGAGCCTCTCTGGGCATACGTTGGGTATGTTGGGGTCGAGTCTAGCGAGGTAGGAGCTTAACCTGCTACACTATCCAGACCTAAGTTGTGCTAATGTCACGCGGGTCTCTCGGTAGGTGGTTTATTCCCGAGCACGCTATTCAAGGAAAGGGAGTCTTTGAAGGTGTTGACTGACTGATGGTGAATGACTTTTCTTCTGTTATAGGTACTGGTTTGACTCCGAGAACGCCATTTACTGGGAGAGAGTTCATGAAAGCGGGTAGGGCCCAACAAAAAAATATTTTTACTCCAACAAAGAAAACAGCTATAATCGCGTAAGCTGCTCCAACATCAGTAAAAAAGAGCAACACGACTCCGAAAGTTAAAATGGGCATACGAGTAATAATCGTCCCTGGATTTCTCGGGTAAGCACGGTCCTATGAATCAACTGTGGGTCTCTTCATTTATTGGAAACATAAAGACGCATACCATAAATTGGGAAGGAGCTCGGTCGAAAGTCGCTTCAGCGCATGTATTTAATAGGTCTCATGATACACATGGAATTTTTTGAGCAACCGGGGAATTGGCTCTCTACCATTTTCCAATTTAGTATTCAAACTTGAAGTTATCATACCGATCTCTACCTAAACCGCTGACCACTATACTAATTCTGTTTACAAAAACCGAGCGTCGGTCTACAAGTATATTATGAAGAGCTCTACCCCATGATCCTCTTTGTTGCCTAGCCACTCAACTGAAGATTTAAGTTTGCATCTTTTTACAGTGTACCCACGACGTTTTTCGCCAACAGCATCGTCATCACTCTAGATATGTAAGTACATATCGACAACTCGGCAGCTGCACAACAACAGTACGCGGTACGGTCAAGTGGTTTCTCGAACTCATTTAATTTGTTGTCCTTTGTTTTGTTTGTGTAGCAGCAAGAAGATTACCGATTCAAGTGAAATTGATATCGAGAAGATCATAAACAAAACGTGACGTCAAAAGGAAGGAAAAAAGAAACAAGCAAAAATTACTGTGTGGCGCTAAGTGCGAATGTGTCTGACGCTCATAGACCAACATGGATGCTTACATCCCCATACGAGTGTATGAGCTACAGAGCCTATAAACCTACCTGTGTGCCATGAGTTCAACGGTTTTAGAGTCCTTTGCTCTTAACACGTTTGGCTGCATGGAAAATTTACAAAAAAAAAAAACTACAAAAAAATTAAATGAAATAAAAATATAGCAAAAACCCAACCAAACTGCTTCGGTAGACACCTTTGTGCGCTCTTTCTTTGTACACAAAGAGCAACTTACAGCGCCAAAGAGCGACACACTCCACCAACGAACCGACATATACAAGCATATGTGTGTGTATGTATTCACTTAATAGTTAACAGTTTGTTTGTACACATTCTCCATCAGTTTATCGCTGATCCTTAAAGTGTTTAGTACCTAAAGACCTATCATAAACGCGCGCCGAGTCTGTAATCCATAACGAAAAATAAAACAGATAATAAATTAAAATAAGAATTGCGTTACATTGAATTTTGTGTCTTGCGGAAGCGCTTGTTTGTTGTTATCAGCTTGGAAATTGCGCCAGCATGTGCAAATTCCGTCCATCGCCCACAATTTTGCATTTGCTCACGCTCTTTCTGCTGGCGTTCAGCTGCCATTTGTTCACCACAGCGACGAGTAATGACGTCAATCATGACGGTTGCAATGAATTTGTTTGCGGCTCAATCGTCTCGAAATGCCTGCTCACGCAGAGCTGTCAGTGTAAATTGAATAATGCGACTTGTCTGCAAGAATGTCTCTACTGTTTGGGCGATCTGTATTCGGAGTGTTGCGGCTGTTTGGATATGTGTCCGAAACTCACCGATGCGCTTGACGCCACAGCGCCCAGATCACAATATGGCGAATTTGAGGGTTTGCCGGAACTCTTCGAAACACTCACCGAGGACGATGACAACTGGACGGTGATGCGTATTTCGATGCGTTCCAGCTTGCGGCGTCATTATGGCGCTGGCTTTGGGGTCTCCATTGTTGGTGCGGGTAGCGATGGTGATGCGATCGATCGTCAGGCTTCACTGCAAAAGCTGCAGTCATCGGCGTCAACATCGTCGGCGCCACTACTGAATTGCACTGTTATCTATTTGAATGAGTGCAAAACGTATCACAAGTGTGCGCAGGATTGTGAGAATATGGGTGCGAATAGTTATCGCTGGTTCCATGATGGTTGCTGTGAGTGTGTGGGCGCGAATTGCATGAGTTACGGCATTAACGAGAGTCGCTGTTCCGCGTGTCCGGAGGATGAGGAGAACGGCGCTGCCGCGGAGGATTATGATGACGAATCGACGTGGACATATGGCGAGGAGGAGAATAATTATAATTAAAAAATAATAATTTATTGCGCTTAGCGAAATTTTTTTTATTATTTAAATCTTTTTTTGTTTTTTTTTTTTTGGCTTCGAATTGTGTTTGGTTGACGCGTAACATTATGGAGTTGTTACGAGATGAAATTACATTGACACAGTCAGCGTGCCGCCGTCGCCAACACCATCGCCAGTGATAAACAAATGTGTGAGCTACATATTTACAATGTACATTCAGGCATACATACACATGTATATATAGTATACATATATGAAAGCAGAGATTTAAATTGGTGTTGGAAAGTCAAGTGTTGTGTAGGGTTAATTAATGTTAAGAAGTAAAAGTGTTTTACTTCACTCAGCGTGCGGTGTATAATGAATTAAATAAATGAATTTCTTTGAAAACTTTTTACTAAAAACCTAATGTATTAGTGCCATTATATTTGTAAAATTCGTCAAAAAAAATTTATGTAAAAAATTAAATTTTTTTCGCTCAATTTAGCCGAATAAATTTAAGAAATTTTTGGATAAAATCAAAAGAAATTTCAGTAAATTCACAGAGAAATTCTGAATAAAATTAAAAAAAAAATCAAATAAATCAACAGAAAAAGCATTTCTAAATACAGAACCAAAAAAGCTAATATTTTTTTTTTATAATTTGAAAGAGATTTTAATTAAATCCACAGATAAAAATATTTATTTTCTAATTCCAAAAGTATTTCTAAATACAAAATCCAAAAATCTAATATTTTTTACTTTTGAAAATAAAAATTTAATTAAAACAACAAAAAAATATATATTTTCTAGTTCAAAAATTCCCAATATAAACCCAAAAGAGCTAATTTTTTTTTAAATTTCAACTAAATTTTAAATAAATCCAGAGATAAAAATATATATTTTCTAGTTCCAAAAGAATTATTAAATACCAAACCCAAAAAGGCAAATTTTTTTTTAAATTTCAACTAAATTTTAAGCAAATTCATTGTGAAGAAAATTAATTTTTAGCAAATTATATTCCAAATCAATTGTTATAGAGGCTTAAAAAATAAAAAAATAAAAATAATTAAATGCGTGTATTGTGGCAACTATATATTATTTAACTATGTATGTCTTATTAAAAAAATTAATTAAAACTGCGCCCAATTGAAAAGTATAAAATAAAATATCAATTTAATTTTGTGAAAAAAAAAATTTTTTTTGAGTATTTTTCTCATTCAAACCCAATATTTCTATAATTTTGGTTGCTGGTTGAACCAGCACTTGGTTATTGCATTTGATCATTTATTTTACGAAAAGCATTTAAATATTCCATAGAAAAGGTTAGTCATACTCAGCCTTCCCAACATCCAGCTATTATATTCCCCCAAAGTTCTTTTTGGGAAATGTTGCGAAAGTGACAGTCCTTGGCCGAATAAAAATCCGGATCGGTCCGGTATAAAGACCCGACTGTCGCTGGTACTATTGGATTTTAGTCGCTTCTTAACTGGCTTGCCTTATTACGGTTAAATTCTTGAACCTCTAACCCGCAGGGGGGCCAATATTCAGCTTAAATGACCTCATTATTTCTTTTCGCAGAGGAGCAACCTGGAAATCGGTAAGTTGTGCTCGATAAAAGTTTTGAAATTTTATTTACATTCATTTAATTTCTTTACAGATCCATCGTGAAATAAGGAATTATATTATTTATATTACGACAGTTTCATCTTAATTCTAAAAATAACCCTCCCAGATTTATTTAAACTTCATGGAGTACTGACGAATCTGTAATTTCTACGATCTAAGTATGTTGGAATGGTGCAAAATCAATTGGATGCGAAGTTATGTGCTTCTTTCTAAAAGCCATACAGACAGATACTTACACAATAGATAACTATAATTTGGAACCGTGTTACGGTTTTACTAAACTGTGTATCACTACGGACCCTAAATTAAACCCCTCGCTTCATATTAGTGTGAGGGTCAACAAAACCAAAGACATATTTGTGGCGGTCAAAGGAGTTCAAAGTTTTATATTCTACATTAGGAAAGCCTATTCTGGCATATACCGAGCCGTATGGAATCTGTTTGGGATAGAATCCATGAAAAACAATTCTTCTTTTCCTTTCCTTGATGATTTGCATTGGAACTCTCTATATAATCTTTCTTCCTATACTAGTCGTCAGAGAACGCTTGGTATTATTGGTTCATGGTTAAAATAATAACAGGCGCAATTTCCACTTCCCTTATTCTTTCTGATATCAAATTTAATATACCGTTTAGAATGTCCAAGAGTATGGCAAAAACTCTGTACTGTACTGTTAGTTACAAAGGGTCTTATTTTCTACTTATTCTTTATATATTAGAACTTGTAAAAGAAATTTTTGAATTTCACGAGCCTAAGCATTGTTTATGTTTTAATTTCAACTCGCATTCAAATTCACTCGAAATGTCAAATGTGCGGCTTGCTTTTTCATATTAAGAAAACAAATGGGGCGTTCGGCGAGCTGCTGAACAGTAATAATTGCTACTGAGTTTTTGCTGAAACGCGTTCGGTGAGCCAAAAATTCAGTAAAATTTTTACTGAGTGAGCGCAATTTTAACATTTCGTTACTGTCTAATTCATACCAACATTTCTCGTCGAAAAGAGCTATTGACTCGTACACCCCTACTAGTCTTTCGAGGTGTATTCTTCTTCTTCATTGGTGTTGGCACCGCTTACGCGATTATAGCCGTTTTCTTCGGTGGAGCAAAATTTTTATTTCTTGGGCCATAAGCCTTGTGAATGGCGTTCTCGGAGTCAAACCACCACCTGTAGCAGGCAAAGAACTCGAGCTGTATCGAGAGTTGCGTCAGTGTTAGCAACTTAGGTCTGGATATTGTAGCAGCCTAAAAGAGTTTTTTTATTTTATTTTATTTTATTTTATTTTATTTTATTTTATTTTATTTTATTTTATTTTATTTTATTTTATTTTATTTTATTATTTTATTTATTTTAAATAAGATATTTTGTGTATTAAAACCAGAATTTTACAAATTTAAGAAAATAGTTCTGTTTTCTGCCCATACGCACTAAGATACATCAAAATAGAAAAGAAAAACATTTTTACAGAGAGCTACTTTTGGCTTTAACTCAATTATGCCAAAGCTTATAACATGCAAATGCTCAAATTTCTGAATTTTCGAACATAAAAGTCGCATATTTTTACATGACAAGCCGATATTAGCTAAAGCATGTGGAGGTTAATTTCAGGATAATATTTATTAATATAAATATCTAAATTTTTAAAATTATAATTATGAGCAAATAGTCTCAGTTTAAACACTTTAAATAAAAGCTTTTGGCTGTACAAAAATAAAAATTGTGTATTTGCTACCACAACCCATAATATGTATCTAAATTTTCTTATTTTGGTAAGAATTCACCACATAAATAGCCTAAATCGTGCTTAAGATTGGTTAGTGATGTAACTTGAATAAACTTTTTTTGCCAGTTTTTAATATAAAAACCGATTCAATTATAGTATAAATATGTTTAGCAACATGTTGCTTTGCTATAATGTGTCTTCAACAATTTGGCAGTGGTTATTATAGCATGTAGTGAATCAAACATATTCACTTCAAAAGTGTCATTTCAAGGTTTACACTAGTTTTCTTACAGATAATAATTTTATCCAAGCCCAAAGTCACTTTTCTCAAATCTAAATTTCTTTAATGAAAAGTTTTCCTCTCTCTAGGACACACACCGTTTTCGTGAAACAAGTATTTAAAATGTTCTACCCAAAACCATAGAATCTTAAAAAAAATTTGAATGCTCAGAGTGTTTTTAAAATTTAACTAAAAAGTTAGACACCAAATATATCAGAAGGTCTATGCCTTCAATAACTTTGGGCGAGGATAAAAAAGTTAAATTTTTTATTATATCCTGACTCTCAACCGCAGGTTTGTTATAGAAAATCTTTTTGGTGCTCAAATTAAGCTCATATTCTGTTTGTTGAGCAACCAATGTTCGACAACAAAGTTGATATAATTGTACAGGGATGTAATTAATACATCTAATATTATACCATGAAAGATAATTTTATAAATTTTAGCAATGAAAATTAAAATTATAATTGTTATAAGTCCAGACACAAACCGCTCATATTGTTGCCCTAAAATTTTAGTTTGTGCGCATATAAATTACAGCACGTTGCAATAATTTTCTTTATAGGACTCAAATGATATAAAATAAAGAAAGAATAAAATAAAGAAGAATTGCTTAAAATGTATCTGTTGTAGTATGAAAGATAATTTTTTATCTTAGGATTTAGAATTAAATTTCCAACTGTTATAAGTTAAGACACAAACCAACTTTCTTCTTGCAGTAAAATATGTTTAATTGGGGGCTTATAAATTATAGCAAGTTGCAATAGTCCAATAGGACTCTAATAATAGAAAACGAAGTATTTAGAAATCTATTAAAAATTTATATATTTGTATATGTGAAAACATAATTATATTAAACAAAATGTTATATTTTAATTTATTTTAATGCTACATTAAATTTATCTTTTAATTTTAATATCAATTATAATTTTATTTTTATTTTTAATTTTAAGTTTTTTATGAATTTTGTTCAAATTTGCAATATTTACTTTTTATGCTATTTTTTTTCCAACAATTTTGGGTATTTATCTAAGATGATTTTGCTCTTTTTGCCATTTTCTGCTATACGAATTTTGTGGTGAAAAGCTTTCTTTTTCTCTGCTAACAGCTAACTTACATACACGTAGGATGTAGGAAGTAGGATTTTTGTTTTTATAAAAACAGCTGATTAAATTTGATTTCATTCACTTTTTGTGACACTCCACAAAGCGTGGTTATGGATTTCCATTGTATGTGGTTGGTTGTCGGTGCTGTGATGGATATGTGTCAACAAAAAGAGAAAATTTTCTATCGTAAATTGATTTAAAATTAAAAGAATGTGGATTTTGGCGCACAAAAAGCCACAAAAAACCCTGATTTCTGGCACATAAAAAATCATACTTAAACAAATTTTAATTTCATACTAACAACCTTTTTCAAGTCAAAGTGGGAAATAGGTAAATTTGTAATGCAATTATGCATAATAAAATTAGATATATTAAACACTCATTTAGTAAACCAACAGTTAATTAAGCTCTTTATGTCTATGTATACAGTTTTTAATTTAATTTCGATAGCAAACAGAAACTCTTCAAATATACTCGTATGTGTGTACACACTATACACACATATAACTGCTCAAATGTAAATATAAACTTCCCAATATCCCAATAAAATCCTGTCAATGTCAGTTAATTGCATTCTTTATTGCTTTAGCAAAGGTCAGTTGGGCCCAATTGAGTTTTCACCTTTATTATAACGGTAATTTCCTACTTTATACATTGAGCATTTTAACTTACAACAGCAAAAACGTGAAAAAAAGTTCAGAATTCAGAGTTTCAAGTGCCCAATTCACAGCTACAATGTGTGCGCGTTATATATGTATGTATGTATAGTATAAACATATACAAATGTACCCTTTACATATACAGTCGCACATAATTACTCTTTTGAAATGGTAGTCAAAATTTAAACAGTAACAAATTTGTACTTCAGAGGTTGGCAGTAGATTTTTGATTTGTTTTTTTTTTTTTTTTTGTTTTATCAATTTATTTTAATTTTATTATTATTCACTGATTTGAGCTTTTTAATGAT